GTTTAACCCACAGCGCCACCCACATCCCCATGTGGCATGTAGGCTAACATAAAATGTATGAAGAGGAAGAGGTGTGAGCTTGGAAACATTATGCCACAGTAGCAGTTCTTCCGCAATATACAATTTGCGAATTGTTGGTCTACACTTTTAAAAAGAGATACTGACTTCCTCTTTGATCAAACTTCCAAACACATTTGATGTGTGGACAGAAAAACACAGCTGAATAATGTTAGGGATTAGGAGAGGCAGAGCACGTCACTGCGAGTACAAGCCTCAAGGTTCTATCAAGGCTAGATCTGAAATCTCTTTAAGTCAGATGAATTATTGGGTAAGCCTTTAATAGTAAAGGAAGTTGCTGTTTTATAAGCGACTTAAATAAACTATTTCTTCAAAGCACGCAGTGTTTCTTAAGCAACCGGAGCAAGTGGGGCAGCATGTGTTATTTCTTACCTACTCTTTGCACAAACATCACTCTGGTGCTTTATAATGGCTCCGGTAGCTGCCACTGTGTTTATACTTTAATAATGTACTTGGGGCAGGGAGAGGCACAGTCATTCTGTTTCAGCCATTGCACAATGCTGTGGAGTGTGGGACCCTGTAAATTTTTTTTTTATTAGCTTCTGCTTCAAATGACAATATTGTAAGAAGTGGAGTTATGGGGGATCCACGTCATGATAGAGAGGCATGCACAAATTTAGCTAGATTTTTTCCCCTCACTCCAACGCCCTTGGCAGCACACATACACAGCAACACCCACACAAACAATTCCTGCACACAGTGCTAGTTTATATGCAGAAGAGGCAGACTATCCTGGATTTGGTATTATGGTCCTTATTTTATTGGTCTTCAACTGGTGGATCACACCCAAACTAATAATGGGTTGCCATTCCTTTTCTTCAGTGTTTGCTTTCATTCTTGGCTACCATTACTGCTGAGCTATGGCCAGGGAGGGAGGAAGGTTACTTCATGCACATTCAAGCCACTACTACCTAGATGTTAGTGGTGAATGGGTGGGGATGGGTGAGTGGATGGACAGCAGTTTTGATCCATGTGGTGTTCATTGCAAGGGCAAAATAGGTATATGGAAAAGAGACTTCCTGGATGCCAAGATCCAGGTTTGGGGCAAGTACTCTTTGGTGAGAGAACCCCAGACGAGGATTTAATCACACAAAAAAATCACAAAATATGCAGCAAAGTAAAGCATGGAAATATAGACTGCTGGACCTTTAAAATATGTCCTTCTAACTTACTTCTAAAGTTCCCTTCTTCTCCTAGCGTAGAAAGAGACTACAAATTTGGTAAGCTAAAAATTGTTCACTTACAAACTTTCCAAAGATCAGATTCACGTGCTTTTCCATACAGCATTCAGAAAAAGTTGCACAGGCAGCAAAACATCTCTTAGCTACAGAAGTGAAAGTTCTTAACTTATTGATATAGGAATTAAAGAGTGGCTTGTGAGAGGCATGCGGCTAAGCTGGAGCAAGCATCTTAGGTGGAATCTAGACACATATTAAAAGTGTTCTGAAAATGCCCTTTTAAAAAAAAAAGTTTTGAAGAGGATATTGAATTTGCCGTAGCTCACAATCACCATCTAGTGTCACATTTGTATAATGCACTTTACAGCACACTTAAAACATTTTAATTGCAGCTGTATAGCTGAGTCCTTAGCCTCTTCACACACTGAGTTCTTCAGGTAGACAGATGGGGAACAAAGGCTTGATTACCTAATCCCTCCCAAGGTGAGCTAAGCCTGGCAGGACAGCTTACTTTATGGCTTTAACCCCTTCATGCATTAACTAGACTTAACCATGTTGGTTATATGAGGCTGGTTATCCCACACTTGGTACAGATGCTTCTATGTGGCACTTTCTTGAAGTCTCTAGCAAGCCACCATCTAATGACATCAGTTAATGCCTTTACAGCTCACTGAGTATGTCTACACTGATTCATTTGGCACCCAGATACCAGGACTCCCCTCTCCTAAAAAAACAGTATAGTTTAGGGTAAGCTGTCAGACAAAGATGTAGAGGAAGACACAATTTGTGGGAATTTTTAAAGCATATATTTGGAAAGACCATTGTTCCTACATCCCCTTTCAAAGATCCAGTGTCTAATCACTTTCTTCTTGCTGCATTGCTATGCAAAGTCCGACTCCAGACCCCAGCTAAAGGAGAAAGGACAGAGCAGTCACTAGCACTTCTCAACTAGCACCAACAATTTCTACCATTAATCTAAGATGGCTCATCGATTCAGATTCTGTTAGATCAGCGAAGTTGCTTGTACATTTCATAAGTCAACTGAGTGGTGCCAACCTACACCAATAATGCTGCAGACTCCTTCCCTTTGTTTTAATTCATTATTTTTACACAGCAAAACCCCAGGCACAGCTGCCAATAATCCTCACTCCAAAGGCTTAGTGGTTTTCTCCCTTTGACTGACTCACTAACTTTACATACTGTGATTAATCCACCTGCCATGAATGAGACTAGCTGTGAAAATACAGTACCATCAGTGCCTACACATTCCCTGAAGGCCTGGTCCTGTGAAATGTCTGCTGGTATACCTTCTCTTGTTTTATGTAAGTGGTTTTCCTAGTCAGTACACCTAATCCCTCAGTTCAAATAAAGCTACCCAAATAGATTACTTGTAGAGGAGGAAACTGAAATTCCTTCTGAGGGTTTTCCCTTCAGCTGTAAATAACAATATTTATTTCATGGATGCTTTAAATATTTTTACCTTGCCAACATGGTCCAGAAGAGCCTTCAAGGCATCTTAGAATATATAAACACATTTTAAAACAGCAGTGTCACTAAAAACAACAGATAAAATGGTATTAGCCCTCAGGTGATAATACAGCATAACAAAAAATAGCTGGAACAGAGAGATCTCACAGTAACATCCATAGCATGATTAAAAACCCACTAACCAAATCCACCTGCTTGCTGAATCAGTACACATCCTGCATACCTGTTTGGAGAGAGAATTCCTTCTTGCGGCGAAGGGCAGGAAAGAAATCTAATTATAGATTTGTTTTATTTATTTAGGAGCATTTATACCCCACCAAGTTCTTGAGGTGGCTTACAGTATATATTCAAACAACCATCAAAACAGATGGCAATACAATAGTCACTACGGCAGACTAACAACGTATGGAAGTCCCCACTCCTTTTCTTTTACAGTTTCCATACAAATTCCTTTCTGCAGCTGAATCTCCTGGCTGTTGAAGGAGCTAAGCATCAGTCCCTCACAGGCCAGGATGTCCTCACTGGGTGGCTGCTGCTGATCATACTAATCACTGTATCAATAATAGTGGTGTCACTGCTAAAGGCCCTGCGCTTTGAACCAACCAACCTAACAGCTGCCCATGGGTGGAAGCCCACACCAGGACTATGAGAGGAAAAGTATTTCAGGGGTTTGTACAAATTTGAACTACAGGAAGCGGTGAACGTTTGGGGGGAAAGGAAGCATCAAAAGTGGAGAACAGTATTGCTAGGAGCTTTCGGAAAGGAGAGCGAGAGTCATATGTGTTTTTCAAATGTGTTTGTCTTTATTGCCTTCTGCATCGTTAGAATGAATGTGCGCAAATTTCCTGCCAATGTGCATCACTAGGACTCTAGCAGAAGCATTACTGAATGTAGTCCATGTTGTAGTTACAGAGGAACCAATTTCAGTTCCCTGGCTATTCAAATATGTTGGTGAAAATGCCATGTAAACCTTCATAACTGCATATGCCTTTATGGAAAGAGGGCAATTCTGCTTGTGATTGTTTTTTTATTAGCAACCAACAGTCTATTTTGATGCTCTGTGTGTCTCTGGCTAGAAGAGATTTTATTGCTCATTATGGAGGGGCTGAAATATTTACGGCACTCAAAGCTGCTAAATATAATCTTGCTAAATTTAGTGATTTTTATCTTCCTTTATTTGGAATATTTGCCACAGCTACTTATGTCCTGTCTCATTCTGAACATTATTTGAGATCTTACTAATCTGAGCACCATATTTCAAACATTAGTATTTTTATTTGTTTTGCCATTTGTGGAATAATACTGGAATCTGCCCTTTTCATTTCAGACATTTTTTTTTTTTTTGGATAAGGCATGACCATTATTTCCAGGAAGCTGGTTCATTGCAGTTCCTTATTAAATGGTTACCCACACAAAGTTTATTACAGTATTGCCACATCTGTAAATATTAGCACATGACCTTGTGGCTGAGATAAAGATAAATGTGTTGCACAGGCATTCAACTCTATCCTGAAAGGGTCGTCCACACAAAAATAAAATTAAATGATATTGTATGACGGTAAAAAACCCACACCCAGCATTCAGAGATATGCTGGATTGGCATCACATTGAGTTTGAATTCCTTGGCAAACTGTTTGAAATCACCCAGATATCTATCGGCAGCTCTCCAGATCCACCTTCTGCCCACTCCTTCTCCAGTGTGCTGACTGATGGAGCTGGTCCTTAAAGCTGAAGCAATGTACATTAAACACTCTGAACAGTTTCCTCCTTCTTGCGTTCTCTCTCTCTCTCTACTCCTCCATGCCTGGCTTTGAGCCTGCACGCTGAACAAAAAGGTGCATTGTTGAATGGTTTAATTACAATGTGATTAGCTCACATACCTACCCAAATCCTTATTTTCTAACACAGTTAAAAAAAGCTAACGTTTGTATAGCTCTTTCAATTATTCCACCTTGTTTATTATTAGGGCTTTTAACAAAGAAGTAAAAGGCGAACCTCCCTCCTTTTGGTTTCCAGAGTGAGGCCCGGGGCACTTACACTTTGGCATTTACCCAAATCCAATAAAAGAGAATATTTAAAGTAAAAAATGTCTTGAGCTACTTGGGTTATGGTCACTGTTTGTCCAATATCCACATGATAATGTTATTGGAGTGTTTGTGATTGCAAAAGATTTATCCTTTCACAGAAGACTCACACGGGGACAGTTATAAGACTTTGTTTTTTGCAAGAGGACTCCAGGGTGGAACAGCACCTGCAATGTACTCTTCTTTCCTTCTTGGAGGAGAGCCTATCCCAATGGCATTTGCTATGCATACACTGATGGCCATGAAGAAATTACTCTTCTCTGCTGTGCTGTTCGCTGCCTCTCAACATCCCCTTGTGTACATGAATAGAATCAGTGGCATGCCGGCAGTATTTGAGCCAGATTCCATTGACTATGAGGATGACCCAAATGCAAAAGAGGCGAGAGCTCCTAAGCCTCTAGTGGTGACTGTGTAGGAAGTAGTAGTGCTTGGAAGGTGTGTTTTGTAATGAAGAGATGATGAAATATCCAGACTTGCTGAAATGTTCTCTTCTGTGCAATTATTAAAGACACAGGAACGCAAGACTTCCATTGCATCTAGCCACCCTACTGACTATGTGAATACAAGATCTGCAGTCTGAGGAGGAATGAGAACATGATCACTTCACGTGGTCAATTCACAAATAATGCCAAGCTCCTGTTTGGTGCTATGGGAAGGAATCTTCTGCTCACACCCACCTTCTGATGTAATATCTTTAGCATCAAGCAATCCTTTGCGATTGCATCTGGAACAGCAGACTATGGTTTGCACTTGCCTTGCACACCAGGATCAAACCCTGATTTGCAATTCTGGCTTGCACAATGTATTATTTATGCTATTTATTAAATTTATACATCCCACCCTTACTTACAAGAGAGCTGAGGACACAAACTGTAACTTGTTGGTTCAGATGTAGCAGCAAACCATGGTTTTCTACAACTATGGAAGTAACTAATTAAGCGTGAGCAAGTGCAGATTTACATAGTGGAGCCTTGGTGGTTTAATCTGAAGCTGAGCTAGGTTTGACCTAGCTGATAATATTTATGATTTCTCTTTCTTCATTTTATTGTTGGTATTTGTTTTACATTATGGTTTGTAGTCTGACAAATTATAATGAGACTGCCGTGGCCTTTGGATAGTACAATAAACTTACTGATTGATAGTGTCAAATCATGGTTTGCCATTAAATCTGAACAAGTGATCCCACAGTCAAGCCAGTATTGCTCTTTTTATCGAGCCATATAATAAAAGTTGTTATTGTTGCATTTCTGTTTCTTTCATTGCACGCCTATGAGTAGAGTAGGATTCTGAACAGTGTTAGCAAAGCAGAAAGTTGTCATGGGTGGTATGAAGAAAAGGCAATAGAAGGGGTTGTTGCTGCACCAGAGTGGGAGTCATCGCTCCTTAATAATATCTTGCTGCCTTGAAGCTGTTAAAGTAACAAGCGTTGTCTCCTTGAGTCAGGGGCTGGCAAGCTTAGTGATACAGTCATAAGTCGTAGGCAGTGTTTAATTTTAAAAATGACAGGTCCCTGTCTGGGAGTCATTCCTTCCGACCTGGAAATTCTTCCCCTTTGTACTAAATGTGTGTGTGGCAGAGTGGGGGGGTGGGAAGCAGCTTGTGGTTACTCAGTGGTCAGAAAAAATGTAGTCTGCTCATGCTTGTTCTACATTTATTACTTCATATTTTCCACAGCCGATACTGGAACTAAGGTTGTGTTCACACTCCCGTTTGCTGTGACCTCACTGTGTTTCCAGTGCTGTGTTCTTAATCCATATTCACAGGGCATTATCCAGGACAAGGAATGGGGAAACAGAGGCAGATGTGAGAAAATCAGTGTGCACTTAAGTACGGCTTACACATACTTAAAACTTGGTTTCAGTGGAGACTGAGGGGATTAAAACAAAGGCTACACGGAAGAAGGTAGGTTCTGAGGAGTGAGTGACTGAGAGCTGCTATTGTGGGTAAAAGGTCAGTCCATTTATGCTCCAGGGTGAACGTTTATCAGTCTGTCGGCATCATCTAGACAATACTGACTGCAGTTTGGAATCCACTTAGCTGTTGTTGGGTAATAAGTGACTTCAGGAGGAATGTGGTCACTTTGATTTATCAAATAGTTTTTGGCTTAGAGAACAGAATTTTGTAGTCCTCGTGAATTTGTCCCATTCTTCAGCAGCCTGCCTGATCTTCTGCCTCTTGGCCCCCCTTCTCTTCAGCCTCCTGTTCTGCCTCTGATTCTGGCCTGCTCTCTGCCACAAACTCTTCCTGCTCAGTAAACCCTGTTACCAGCTTCTGACACCTCCTCCTCCCCCTCCCCGTCTGGCACCCAGGAAGGCTGCAGAATGCAGATCATCAGAAAGATTATGTGTACAGTGGAAGAAAGGACAGACACAAATGTCTCCTGCCCACTTTGAAAGTAATGTAGGATAAAAAGAAAAACGCCTAAGATCTCACAAAAAAAACCCTCTCTCCTTTCATAACTTTTCAATGCAACCTCTTTTCGGCAATGGGGGCAGAGAGCATATAAACTTAAGGCATTTGCAGATGATGTGATGATATCGGTAGAGGAGCCCATGGTCAGAGTACCAAGGGTTTTAGAACAAATTTCTGAATTTGGAGAGGTAGCAGGTTTTAAACTTTTTTTAAAAGATAAAAATTATGGTGGAAAATATGAATGACCAGATAAAAATGATCTACAGTTATCAACAGGGTTAATGATTGAAAATAAAATTAAATATTTGGGAGTATGGTTAACTCCAAGGAATATAAACATTTTAAAAGACAATTATATGAAAGCTTGTAGAGGGGTTAAGAAGAGCCTAGAAATTTGGGGAAGGATGAACTTGTCACTTATGGGGAGGATATATGTGATAAAAATGAATGTGCTACCAAAAATGTTATTTCTGTTTCAAACAATACCAGTGATCAGCAATACAATATACTTTAAAGAATGGCAGAAAGATATCCCTAGAGTTATCTGGCAGGGAAAGAAACTAATAATAAAGTATAAATTATTGAAAGATGCCAAAGAAAGATTTTTCTTACCAGATTTGACATTATATTTTGAGGTGTCTGGTCTTTGCTGGTTAAAGGAATGGATATTGTTGGAAAACGGTTCCATATTAGATCTTGAAGGACATGATAACAGATTTGGTCAGCACGCCTATTTGTGGTATGGCAAGGTTAACGTTCATAAAGTTTAAATCATGTTATAAGGAAACAGGTGTATGAAGAATGGGGGAAGTTTATAATCTATTTGAAAAACTATTGTAAACAATTACACACATTGGTAGGATTGACAGAAAACTTGTAAAAATTTGAACTATGGAATGATAAAGGATTTATGAGTTATGAAAGAGACACAGAGGGAAAATCATTATATTAAGATCCACAATGGGGTGGGGGAGGAAGTCAAAGGGGAATATATGTTTATGTTTTGATTTTGCTTGTATATATAAAATAGAAAATGCAAAAATATATATTTTTAAAAAAGAAAAAGGACCAAAAAAATTCACAGATTTTTTTTCAGTACAGTACTGCTTTATATCCTGCCTTTCTACCATGTTGTAATTCAAGGCAGTATACTAAGGATTGCTAAGCAGTCTCCCAGGCATTGCTCAAACTCAGACCTGCATGGCTTCAGCAAGTTCACTGTATCATGAGCCTTCAGACCAGGCCCTGGGGCTAAACAGATGTAGCCGATTGCTTCCCATCTAGTTTAGCTTTAGGCTTTATAATTCCAGTGCTAAACCCAAGCCTATGCCTCCAGCAACCATATTCTAGATTACAGCCCCCCCCCCATTAATATGGTTACAGGCTTTCTATATGTTGGTTTATTAATATATTTATATTTATATATTTATCAGTATGTCTACATGTTTGTTCAATCGATTTTTATTTTGAAAAATCTGCTCCCAGACCCTGGAATTGCCTCTGTTGAGAAACTAGACTAGTCCCACTCTTCATTGTCCTTCTGCTGCCAGATGAAAACCTTGCTGCAGGAGGCTTTGGGGAACTGATTGCTTTTAATAAAAGGGCTGGTGTCGTGTTGTTTTATTGTAGTTATTTGTATGTTTTAAATAGATTTTATAAGTGCATAAAGTTCTGATTCTGTTAATGCTTAATTGTTTTTTAATTATAGTTTTTTCTGTGTTTTTAGCTATTTTTGCTTTTATCTGTAAGCAACGCTGAGTCCCATCAGGGAAAAATGCAGGATATTAATATAACGATAATAATAATTTGTGCTTAGAATTTTCTTTAGTAAGCTGTCCAGAGAGACCTTGCCCCAAAAGAGCTAGGGGAGGGAAGGATAAACTTCCTTCATGGTGGACTGACACTGGAGGATCTTGAGGCTAAAATGAAGTGGGGGGTGGGGAGAAGACTTAGCTGTACAGTGGTACCTCAGGTTAAGTACTTAATTCGTTCCGGAGGTCCGTACTTAACCTGAAACTGTTCTTAACCTGAAGCACCACTTTAGCTAATGGGGCCTCCTGCTGCAGCCATGCCACTGGAAGATGATTTCTGTTCTCATCCTGAAGCAAAGTTCTTAACCTGAAGCACTATTTCTGGGTTAGCGGAGTCTGTAACCTGAAGCGTATGAAACCCGAGATACCACTGTACATTACACATTGAGTGTAATGCCTTATTTGACCCTTAGAGGGCACACCAGTCAGGAGGTGAATTAGGAAAAGACCAGTAACTGGAAATGCCTGACTCCATCCAAACCCATCTAAGTCCAATGTCACCTAGTGACTAAACCACTTAGTGACAGTACAGAGTGTCTGAGAAGAAGGGTAGAGGTTATGTCCCAAATTGAAACCCAGTTGCTCCATGTTCATTTCTTGTTTATGCTAAAGTGTGATGAAGCATTGAGCACTGGCTTACTGAACTAAAAAGCTTCAGAATATTCATGCTGAGGAGGCTGTCGTGATGTGTAGGTTGCCTTGGTATGCATGATGCCAAGGTAAGTCTGATCCTGACAGCCTCAAACCAGATTTCACCAAGTTTAACTTGTAGCATGTGAATTGATTTGAAGGTATGGCTCATAGTTTTGAAGTCAGAGTTCAAGTCTTTCCCCCCACTAGCTCAAATGAAAGTCCTCAGTGTAAGGTTGAGTGCAACAATCCTTGTGTGTTCTACGAGGGAAATGTTATATACTGAAGTTCTCACCCTGGGCCAGCAGGGGGATACTGTAGATAGTTTCCACTCAGGTCCACATATGCAAATAAGGAATTGAAAGTGACGTTCAATGATTGGATAGTTACAGAAAGTTGTTACTGTTGCGCTGTAGTGGAGCTCTGTATAAGCAGGCTGGCTGAACCCTTCAGTTTAGTTCTGTTTTGGCCTGTGAATAAACAAGAGCTGTTTGAAGAATCGCTGTATAGTCTGATATGTTCACCTGCAACTTAACAGGAAATATATTGGAAACATAAATAGACAGAATCTGATCTAAATGCTGCATCACTAAAATACACTCTGCTGAGCAGGCCCTTAGTCTGCAAACTGCAAATGATTATAGCATTTGTGCCTTGCTCCTTCCTGCTTATGGAGCAGAAATTGCATACCTGCAAAGAAAGCTAAAGAAGATAATATTTCACATAATTCCTTTCACCTCATAATCTGCATCTGATTATGGAGGAAGGTACTTCTGAGGCAAGATGCAGAACTGACAGTCAGAACCTCAGATTAGAACTGGACTTCAGAAGGTTTGAAATATATTCATAGTTAAGCCGGAATGAACACTTTTGTGAACCATCTATTTTCTCCTTACTGATTGGATCTGTTTTTTGTCTAGTTTCTGCACATGTTTTGGGACTGAGACAGCTCTGCTTGCTGTTGTGGACAGGGGAAGTGCATCTCAGTGGCCTTTAACACAACAGTAATGGTATCCTTCTGAAGTGCCTTTCTGTTACATCCAGTCATGATCTGTGCCCGTGGTGGAATCTTCCCACAATTGTTTGCTGTGAGCAAAGTGCAAACTAGGCCAATAAAAACAAGAAGGCCGTCACATGCTCACCTCCTGTGTGAAATTCTACAGTCCATAACCACAATACATGTTGTTTACACAGAGGAATTAGTTCCAAAAGAAAAATTTTATGCTCACAAATTGGACTGTATAGGTTAATCAGAAAAACCTTTTGATGTTACAAAGAGAACCTATGGAAGCATCAGATACATAGATAGATAGATAGATAGATAGATGATAGATAGATTATTTAGTTTAGATTAGATTATATATAGTAGGGAAAAATTAATGGAAAATGGAGTGGCATCATAGTGGGAGACCCACAGGAGCAGTAAAATGTTGTGGTTTTTGTATTTTTAAAAAGATGGGGTGTGGGGGCCTGGGAGGTTGGATTCAGTTTGCAGGTTAGCCAGCCCTGAACTAGAACCATGTATGAGAACTACAACAAACACAAGTAGGAAAATGCTATATATAGCGGTAGCGTGGTGAACCTTTTTCAGTCTGAGTTCCATGTTTCCTTGTGGGTTGGACTGGAGGCAAACCGATGTGACCCCTCCCTTTGTAAAGTAGGCCACCTTCCAATCATGTAAAAACCAGAGGTTAACACTCTGCATCCTCCATCCAGAAAAGCCAGCAAGAGGTAGGACCAAAGTTGCAGGACACATTCCAGCCAGGCTAAAACACTCAAGAAAGCACTAAGCAGGTGAAAGTGAGGGCTGTAGCCTGGGGATGGGGGCCTTGTTTGAGGAGATCATTGAGGGCAAGATAGAGATTACTTGAATCTCAGTTCCTTGGCCTGAGATTCCCCAGGCCTGCTGTACTGTGTATACTGTTTTAAGCTGGTTTCCAGATCTGTAGAAGGAAGCATGTTTTCCTTGTTCTGCTGCAGCCCCACCCTTTCAGTTTGAAGCTTAACTTCTCTAATTGCCTCCTACCACCGTACGCAGAGGCATGTGGGACAAAGCCATTTATGTGGCCAATCATCTGAGTCCAATTAGCTTGGGATCCTTCTTGTCACAGAGATCAGGAAGTGACTAGTTATACTGCTTGAGACGCTTTCTGGTGACTAGTGGTCTGTCTGAACAGGAAACATATTGCAAGAAGCTTAAGGCATGGGGACTATAAATAGTGCATGTTTTGATAATGGTTTTCTTTCGGGACAACACATTTTACAGCCTATTGGCAAGAACTCTTGCAAAAAAATAGGTCATGACTGGGAAAGAGAGACCAGAATTTCTCTGAGAAGAAAATAGAAGGAAGCTTTCCTTTCAGCTCATTAAGATAGCCATATTAACTTCCAGGAAAACAGTAATAAATGCTTAATTTTAAGAGCAATTTATTTTGGCAGCTGATCTCTTCCCCTTCCCCCTGAGCTTCTGTTAAAGAATTCCAGGAAGATATTTTTGAAGCCCATCCTTTTTTGGGTTACCCAAGATCCTCTTGAAGTAATATGCAATGTATTATAAATTGGCTCACAGATGCTAATTTTTGTTTGCCATGTACATGGGCAGTATCACTCCTACCAGGACCCTTCAGAATTATAATATTATCTGGTGCCACTTAATTCCATTATATAAGCAAGCATTACTTCCTCCTGCTGACCATTGCTAGGGTGAGACAATTGTACAAAGGAAGACATTTGACAGAAAGAGTTTCAGCACATTCAGAGCAATGAGGAAAGCTGCACTTGTGAAAATCCTCTCTTCTAGAAAATGATTTAAGGTACATGAGTTCTGACTTTCATTGCTAGTGATCACGCAACCAACTGGTCCAGGTAAGGTACTGGCAACAGGTTGACAGGCATGCCTTGGTCTTTGTAGCTTATGAATATTTACCAATGTCTTTTGTTCCCTGCAAGTGGCACAATCTTATGGGGCTGTGAGAATATGGAGACAAAGTTAGCCCTCCACTTACCTACTGCTAAAGCAAGAGTCTCAATAGGGTGACTGTCCTGCAAATGTGGAAAGGCTTCCTTTGAGCCAGGGTTCCATCCTTGAATATTTCAGCACAGTTCTGAAATCTCTCTTAGGTGTAAGAGCTGAGCCACAATATATTAAATGTACCGTTTAATAAAAGATGAGTCTGAGGATATGCTGAGTGTTTCTTCTGCCCCCAAATCTTACCACTATTGTTCACAGGTAATGTTGAATGAGAAACATTTATAGTCTGCCTTTTGAAATATTGTTGAGTTGATTGATGTGTCTGGCCACAACTTAATTTAAAAAACAATCATCATACAATGAACTAAAAACAACAAAATAAACAACACAGCAGGTAACCAGCAGAAAAGAAAATTCTATTTATATTTCTTCAAAAATAACAGGGGGGAAAAAACTAGCCTGTGGCAAACATTTGACTCATCTTCTGTATATGTGAATCTGTAATAAAATGTAATCAGAAAACTTTGGATGGGACTGGCAATAGTCCTAAATAAATAAATAAGACGGGATGGGGTTTTTTTGGTAACTCAATCTGTAACCTTGTTTAAGTATGCCCTCCCCCCGCAAAAAAATAACAATATTGGAGTAGACAGCATACTCCACCCAAAAAGGTATGCCAAAAATAAAAAATAAAAAATTGTATTTTTCTTCCAAAGCACACAAAGACTTGACACATTTCCATGGTGATATAACATCACTTGCTGAGGACAGCTTGGATGGCCAGATATCCCATATTTGGAAATATCTTTTGTCTTGTTTCCTCACACCACCACTGTACAAAATGCAAGTCACAATTGGAAAGGCACCACAGTTCCCCAGCCCATGTTGTCCCTAATTTAATCTGGCAGCCTGAGACATTGATACACATGGATTTAAAAGAGTGCTTCAAATCTAAATGGGTATTATTGTAACACTTAGAAAAACAATTTTAGCTTTGAAATTGAAATTGCAGTTCTCAAAACTCACGATTGTTTTTATTCATTGGAGCTTGAAAGGATTACTTCCTTTGTTTGAGGATTATTTGTTGAATGTTGGGGAATTTATCTATATAGATCAGGGGTAGGCAACCTAAGGCCCGGGGGCCGGATGTGGCCCAATCGCCTTCTCAATCAGGCCCACGGACGGTCCAGGAATCAGCGTGTTTTTACATGAGTAGAATGTGTCCTTTAATTTAAAATGCATCTCTGGGTTATTTGTGGGGCATAGGAATTCATTCATATATTTTTTTCAAAATATAGTCTGGCCCACCACATGGTCTGAGGGATGGTGGACAGGCCCACGGCTGAAAAAGGTTGCTGACCTCTGATATAGATAAATCCAGTACCATCCCGTTTGCAATTCAAGCACAAGGGTTAGGCGAGGCTGGCCACTCCATGAGGACTCATGCCAAGCCATAGTCTGTCTCGGTGTTACGTCTAAATCCGGCCATTTTTTAAAGATAAATATCGTTGTAAGATGCCAGGGGGTTCAGGCGCTTACCCAGGGTTCAGTTTCCTACAACTTGAGCCTACAATGGAGAGGCTCACAGCATCAACACACCCAACTCTGGCCTTTGTCCTTCTAACGGCTAGTTGAGAGAGCAGGGGCCCACCCATTTGCCGTCTGACATGGAGCCATTTCCTTTGTTACCTTCACTACTCATACTTTAGGGGAGCACTACCTCACCAAGAAGCTGGCCTAGCTATTTCAGCAATTGAATCCTAGCTGGATCCAGCAATTAGAAAAGGATTTAGGCATACAGCCTAATCCCCCTGCCCCCACTGTGCAAAAAAAACCCCCTCACAACATGCTGATTGTTGTGGCTATCGAATAAACAGAAATGTCCTTTCCAAATGGCTGGGTTTATGCATCTACTTAAACATTATCTGTTTAGGTTCACAGTGAAACGTACACGTTGGCTCATGTTATTACTATAAACTGGATGAATTCCAACTCTTTTAGCATCTAGTAGCTCTAGAAATCACAAAGCAGAAGCTCACCCTTGTTTAATAATGGATTAAGTAAGGAAGTTGAAATGAAAAAAAAATTGTAAGATGAAACAACCTTGGTTAGAAATACTGCAAGGGGTTGATTAAAAGTTCTCCCTTGTAATCCTATACATGTCACTCACAAGCAAGTCCCACTGAGTTCACTGTGGGACTTACTTTTTTGCAGAGATCCTGAGTCCTCCTTCACATGCACACCTCACAACATGATCGGTGTGCTCTAGGCTTGTGGGGTATCTGTTTGATATAGCCATGACCACATGTAAAACAATTTCTGCCCTAGTTCTCTACCCATAGGGCACTCAGCACAGCTTCACAGTATAAGAAACACAATACAAATAAAAAAAGTAAGAGAACAAATATCAAACTACAGTACCAGAAGCAGCAATCTAAAATACAAACACTGGCAGCAGTTACACTTAAAACATTAAAAGAAGGGGTTTTCTCTCTCTTTCAGGTCTATGGTGACACTCCAGAAAAAAAACGCCCTGTATATTGAGGTCATTTGCTTAACAGCTCAAGAGCTCACACATCGGCAGAGCTTATCATAAGGAGTTTTTTCTCAGAGACACTGTATCCCACTGGAAGGAAGGTGTTGGATCTGATTACCTGGGAAAGGACCACCTAACTGTCCCAGGTATCCCGTTTACTGCTGTGACATGGGATTGGGCCATGCTGAAGTGGCCCCCACCTTGATAAGGCATGAGTGTGGATGAATTTTCATCATTTTGTATTCCTGACCTCCCCCCCAAAAAAAAATCTTTCTGTGACTTACAGGCAGTCTCAGTGATTAATCTAAGATTATTCATGCAGCTCAATCTCAATGATTAATCTAATCTTATTCATGTAGCTGCAAGTTGGGGGGACGTGGCACACTTGATGCAGGCAGCATACCTAACTTACAACTCGGCTGCTATTTATTAGCTGAGGAAGAAAGTCCATGGAAGGAATTCAGCATAGTGCTATGGCAATCGTTCCGTCGGCACAAGCATTTTGGCTTGCTAGATGGGACAGTCTCCCCTCTCTCCTCCCCCTGTGGGGCTGTTCTGGAGGTTCTCCTGACTCCCCAGAGCCAATTCAGGGAGAGGGGGAGGGGGAGGAGAGGGGTGAAACCCTGTTATGCTAGCAAGGCAGGACTTTCTCTGAGAGGGACTTGTTGGCCGAATCCAGCCTCATCCCTTGATGGAAGGGGCAAGGAACATCAGGCCCAGCCTGTCAGGCCTCTGTATCTGACCCTCAGAACTCTCCTCAGGCCACACCCCTCACTGCCTCAGCTTCCTACCCTGAGTGTTTTTGCCTGGCTGGAATGTGTCCTTTATGTTATTTTCACTAATATATGGATAACATGATTGGAGAACAACACTGCAAAATTCAGCAAAGTGTTTCAGTTTGTATAATTTATTTCATTTTAGGGACGTGTGAATTAAATGCAAACTAATTTCAGTTTCTCTCTCATCCTTAGCAGTCAGCAGCTGTAATCACTTTGAGGCATGTACCTTTGAATGATACAGAATTGGAGACTGAGGAGGATGGATCCACCTGCTTTCCACATAGTGCTGTGCCCTTTTCAGCCCCAAAGAAGGCTAACTGCCCAATCCTAATGGTATTTACTTGGATTGATTTCAATAAGACTCACTTCCAAGTTTTCAAGAACTTTCAAGAACACTTTAAAGAACTTCAGACTGAAAACATGGTTTGAGCAATGTTCTGTTTGCAACTGTTTCAGCTATAATATTGTCATAATAGACTAAAATATTATCCTAAGTATGGGATAAGCTACACATGAGGTAAAGAGTTAAGTTCAGGTCATTAAGAGTATGAAGTTTAACAGGTCAGGCTTCGAGCTAAGTTTGAAATAACCCTGAAGGGCACTTTTAATAGATTCCAGGAGTGTAAATAATACAGTGATAATTCAGCCAACTAATATACTAAGTTCCTACTCTAGGGTTTCATCTGGGAATGCAGCAGTTGCCTGACAGCTTAATTTTCAGCTGTTGCAAAAACAAACCCAAACCCAAATTCACTTGTTGCACTTTTGGGTTTTCCACATAGCCCACTGTTATGACCATTCTGGCAAGCTCAGAGTGTCTTGGGTTCCCCTTTTGCTGGACAACTCTTATGGAATGGGATCCTAGTTCATTGGTCACTGAAATCTGAGACAGTAAGCACAAGAGTTATAGAGAGATGTGAGGCACTTCGTTGACAAATTTTCAGAGTCTTGCAATGCAGCTTGCCTCTGCGGAGACCAATGTTCAGCTATCTTAGCCTATTAACAGCTACATGATATATGTAACATTGTTTCCGCTGTTCTCACAAAACAATCAGATAATCGTAAGCTCAGCTATTACAAACTCTGTGAAAGATCTAAGGCAGAACATAGGGCAGTTTTAAAAATGTTTATTCTTGCAAGCAACAGCCTGTATTTCAAGTTCTTTTATAGCCCTGACAGGTAAGAAAGAGAAGGATTACTTTAGGATGCTAAATTGACGTTACTTATCATTTCCTCTCAGAGAATATGCAGCCGGGGGGGGCAACCTGGTCACGTGGAAAGTTTTTACCACTCATCAACAAATGATATCGATATATTGCCCAGGCCTATAAGTTACCTGCTGTTGGCTGGTTTTCTGAGCCCATCTACTTTGAAATTTTATGTGAATTGTTATATTCGCCTTACTTTGGCCAGGCGGGTGAGAAATTCCAGGGCTGCTGCAGCCATTACCCAGGTTTTTCTTTTGAAGGGTATCACTGATTGTGTGTAATACTATATTTGCATGAATTTCAAATATACAGGTTGAGCATAAGTAGAAGCACAGATTAATTGGGCCAACAGCTTGGCCTGGCCCACCCATGAGGCAGCGTGAAGCAGTCGCCCCGGGCGGCAAAAGCCCCCAAGGCCACCCTGCCCACCCTATCGCCTGTGCTTCTGGCAAAGAAACAGTAATGGCATTGGTGCCAGTTTCTGGTGAGATCAAGATCTCACCAAAATCTCATGCGATGTCACAGAGTGTCTTGTTGGAAATCAGCTAATGCCAGTGCTTCTTCTTCACCAGAGGTGGTGGGTGATGTTGCAGCAGCAGGGCGAGAAAGCACTTTCCCATTTTGCCTCAAGTGGTGAAAAGGAGTGCGCTGGCCATGTCAAGAGCCAAGTCCACTGCCCCCACACCAGATCTCCCTGGAGATGTTCAGTGCCTTAAGGTACTTACAGAACCCAGTCTTAGTGCTCACTCTCACCTGTCTTTGATGCAAAATGGCAGTTTTCCCCTTTGTTTCTTTCACAGACACCTAGGTAACAGCACCCCTGGTGGTGGGAGGAGGCATACCCTTTAGCCAAAATGGTTCTCACTTTCCAGAGGAATGTCCAGCTATTTCCTGGTTGATGTGGGAAACTATTAGCTATCACTTCTCTAATAGAGGCTTACCCAGGCCATTAAAGAAGTACTTCAGGTTCTGTAAGCTCTTTCTTGTCTTGCCGCTCCCTCCCCTATTTTGCAGTACAATCTTTGTGGGTAGGTGTTGCAGGAGGCCCTCAAGAGTCTCGTTGAAAGTCATTGTTTTTAGACAGGCTACTTATCTAGCTGGGATAGTTTCACAGTCCAGACTCTGAGTTCTTTTGGAGCTGGGACAGAAGTTTATAGGGAAGTCAGCAGAAACTTCCCATGGACCCAAATCCTTATAAATCAGACTTGTTCAGGAAATTTATTATTTTTGGTTTAAATCTTTATTTCCTTTTCCGTATCTCTTGAAGAAATACCCATCATGTTGTCTATCAGGGCTGAGCTCAAGTTAATAATCTGATATGAAACAGGAGCCTACTGTAACATAAGGGGGTCAGAGTTGAAGGACAGAATTGAAGTCAGAACCCAAAGCAAATCAGGAGGTAGGATAACAGAGCATATCAGAACCAAAAGCTACAGCAGAGGCAACCAGCAGAGGTAATCTGGCCAGTGTGGACAATGGGAGGGATGGTGGGAGTTGCACTTCAACATCTGGAGAGCAGCACATTGGCTATCCCTAGCTATAGGGACACACGCAAACTTGGGAAGACCATGTCCATCAGCCAAAGTGTAACAGCAACTGGAAGGCCTCGATAGCAAGATTGGGTGGGTAGAGGAACAGTACATAGATTCAAATGCTACCAGTAAACTGGGACAACAAGCTTCTGAAATGTGCTGTTTACTTACATTGCCTTGATTTACTCTTTCCTAACTCCTCTGCTGAGTCCTGACTGCCATCAATCTGGTGTTCCACTGAAACTGCCCTTACTAAATTGTTTATTGATCTCACTTCATTCTCATCCACCTTTCTGGTACCTTTCTTACAGTTACCCTCTCCTCCTTGATCCCATCTATCCCTTAGGCTTCTAGGGCTCTTATCTCAACACACTGTCTTGTTATTTAGCAGCTTAGTCATTCAAATACAGGAAACCACACATCCCAACCTCCCCAGACTTCTCCCTCCCAGTTGGTTCAGTTCAAAGTTCTTCTCTGGACCCTGTGCAATTCTCACTGTATATACTGTCATGGGTACTGTCATTTCACTTTTCCCTGTATAAGATTTATAAACTGTGCCACCTTCTCTCCAGTTCCTTGGCTAAAGCAACAGTACAGTTCTGGATGCCTTGGTTTCTGCAACATTCTTCTGCCTCCCCTCCCCTCAAGCCTCTCACCTCTGTCTGAAACTCTGTTGTTATAATAATTCATCTATTAATACCACTTCTCAAATGGCCACATCCCTCTTTTCTGTCCAGCTTATTTGCCCTGTCCAGTTTTGAAGGGTTCAATGGCCTTGCCCCACATTAACTCTCTGCTATTATTTCTCATCATGCTCCTACCTTGGACCTATGTGCCTCCAGCTCTCCTTCTTGCAACCATACCTAAGTCTCCTGCCCCCTTCAACATTCTTCCTTGCTGCCATACCAAAACCAACTTTCTTCTTTCCACTCCTTCCTCAGAATGCAACATTTAAAATCAACAGCACACTAAGAGTGATACAAACTAATAAAGTTATATTGGTTTGATTTTCTAGTTTGCAGGGAACTTATGTGCCTCTATGGCTGTGACTATCTTGTTTTGGATTCAACTTTGTAATATTTCAGAATAAAATGAATATAAGAGCCAGTGATTTGTTAAATAAAACTTGTCTTGCAAAAGTGACCTTGATTCCTGTGCTCACAATTGGTTATTTCTGTCTGGAAGTGATATTGAATACGAATGCTTCTAATCTATTTCTAGGAAGAGATAATATGAAACATTCCACAAATAACTGGATAATTTTATCGCCTGTTTCTCAGCACTGTCCACAATGAAAGCAAGATATGGATGATCACAGTAAACAACTTTGTTTCAGAGACTAGTTAACATTACTAAGCGGAAACAATGTCCTTAAATTTCATGTCACTTGCAAAAGCAAGAACTCCAAATCAAGAACATAGAGATTGGAGATGTCATTGTAACTAGTGCAGGGTACACCTAATAAATACATTTCACTGAAACACGAGAACAGCACTAATTCTGAACAAAGGTTTGTTGTGACCCTTGTTTTCTCAGTATGATTATATAAGTTGGATTGATTTCTGTCACAAAGTTTTTTGGGCCATTCAAGCAATGCTATTTCAAATTCGAATAGATTACACCCCCACACACTTTCATTTCAACTCTACTATCCATGTCCCAGCAAAGCTAATGTTAGTGGAAGTTAGTTATGATGGATTACACTTATGATTATTTGCCATGTGGCAAGCAAGCTAGCTTCACCTTAATGTTTTTCAAGCTGCAATTGTAAATACACATATATTTAAATGAATTTATATATGAGCGATAGACCTTCTACTCCCTAAGTACCCCTTTAGACTTTGATGGAACATCTGTGGAATTAGACTTGCATCATAATTGTGTACATGCCTCCTTAGAATTCCCAGAGAGTTCCTGTTTGGGCTTATTTCCTGAGTTACTTCTGGTGAAAGCCCATCTTCCAGAAGGTCTATTTAATAATGGCATACAGTGGGACATGTATATCATCTTTGATCCAAACCTAAAGTGCTAGTGCCCAGATATGGTTACAGATAAATGATTCCCATTTAAGGCTATGGTCTTATGCACACCTCCTTGGGAACAAAGCCATTGCATTCAGTGAGGTTTCCTCCAGAATAAAAATGCATCGAGTTAGGCTGCACAATTGCAGCTCCTAACCACATTTATTAGAGAGCAGGGCTCTATGCACTACTTACATTTAAAGCACACCACTTCCCCACAAGAATCCTGGGCACCGTGGTTTACCCCTCAAAGGGTACACTACAATTCTCAGCATCCTTAACAAAGTCATATGCTTTCAATATGCTCTTAAATGCATGGTGTGGATGCAGCTGAGCCAGTTTATACATTTAGCAGAATCAAGTAACAAAGCTTTTCCTGGACTATACCACTTCAGGCTACAGGTGGGAGATTATGTCTAAAACATAAGAGCAAACTACTAGGGGCCGTGGGGGTTTCGGCCCTCACAATGAAATA